TCCTGCTGAGCCAGAAAACAAGACACTTTCAAAGATTAATGAAGATGTGTCAAAAGAACTTGGGAGCCAGTCAGAAAGCACTCCTATCGACCAATGCTGTAAAAATTTAAGCAAGAAAAAGAATAATGATGGTAATGTATTTTAGCCCTATTGAATCAATGAAAATCTCTAAGTACAGAAAGATGCTTAAAAAGGAGAACACCAGAAAATGCTTTTTATCACTGTGTGAGACAGCTATTAAAACAATCTCTTACAAAGAAATTGGTAGTTAAAGTGAAATTAAGCATTTGTCCTAACTTTCTAATAGTAACTGAATTTAAAGGTAACCAAAGAACCTGGCTAATAAAGAAAGATTTTACTTTTGAAGAATGAAGCTAATGAAAATAGAAAACCCTAATTTTATAAACCCTAAATTAGGCAAAGGCTGTCAACTAGAGTTATAAACCTCAGGTATATTGTTAATGGTGAAAAGGACGTTCATTTGATGTCCCAGAACACCGCACAGATTGTTTTATAGTCATAAGAGGAAAACATAATTATTCAATGGAGAGATCAGACTGTCATCCTTCAAACCAGCAATTTCAGCTTCACTAGGGTTAGGCCAACTAAATACCCTGTAACTTGTAAAGTCACAGAACATGAAAACTACATCATCGACAATATATTCTAACCAAAATTGTTTATCTTGAATCCATCAAGCCTATAGAGGTATCTTCCAGATTACATAAACACAGAAGACAGAGAGAAAAGTTAAATAACACCACAGGGAAGCAATAGGAGAAATCCAGAAGTTAGGACATTCTGTAGGACGACTGACTTGGTCCCTTCAACAAGCCAACTGTCATTAAAAAAAAAGGGACTGGGCTTCCCTGGTGGCGCAGTGGTTGAGAGTCCGCCTGCCGATGCAGGGGACATGGGTTCGTGCCCCGGTCCGGGAAGATCCCACATGCCGCGGAGCGGCTAGGCGTGTGAGCCATGGCCGCTGTGCCTGCGCGTCCTGAGCCTGTGCTCTGCAACGGGAGAGGCCACAACAGTGAGAGGACCACTTACCGCAAAAAAAAAAAAGGGACTATGTTAGATTTAAAGAGAGTTAAGGAACGTAACAACCAGATGCAATACGTAATCCTGGATTAAATACTTGTTTGGATAAACCAGTTATAGAGGGTATTTTGGGGTCAACACAGGAAATTCTAATATGGGCTGGGTATTAGAAAAGATAAAAAAGTTACTGAAATAGAAAGGCAGAGGCTTCTAAATAAGGAAAGCAGCCTATAAAACAGTATGTGCAATATATCTCAATATATCTCATCTTGGTTAAAAAATATATACATATATATACATACATATACCACAAATACATACATGTATACACACACATATTCACAATAGAAAAAGGTCCAAAAGAATATGCACTGAACTTATTATTTTATTTTTGCTGGTTTCAAGTTTTTTATGATGTACATATGTTGCTTTTATAATAATAAAGTTTGGTTCACCCCTGTACTCCCTTTATGAGTTAAGAAGAAATATACTGATAACTCATAAAGCTGGACAGCTATACTTGAAAACTTCTAAGGAAGATTTTTTAAATCACTTACTTCAAACTGTTGCCAGCATGTGACCCTAAACAAAGCCCAGTAAGAGATATAGCCCTAAATCTGAAACTCAGTGTCTTTGAAGTACCATATTTTTCATTTGGCAGTTGCCAAAAGAAAATGTATAACAGAAGAAAGGTCTCATTTTCTAAAATTTAATCACGTTAAGTGTTATGAGGGGAAAGTGCTATGGAGAGGAAGCACTTTCAAAAGCCAAAAAAGGATCATTCAAAAAATAAATTTTTGACACTGACCAATGCCAAGAAAATTTTAGCTCTCCATTTCAAAGAAGTCCCATCCCGTACTCTCTTTGTACTCAGTATTAAAGAACTGAGGCTCCTTTAATCACCAAAAGGAATGGATTTATTATTCAAAGCACACTGTCATAGATTAATATAGTGGTTAACTTAAAACTGATATATCTGATGCCTCTTCCTTCTTTTCATGAAGCTATGTCATCAATTTTAAGTAAATGAGGAAAGACATGTATGCCAATGTTGCTATGGTTGAAAATAGAGAGATAGAGGTGAGTGTATTATTTTTCAACTGTTGCATGACAAATGACCACAAATGTAGTGGCTCAAAATAACACAGATTCATTGGCTCACAAACCCAGCACAGTATGGCTGGATTCTCTGTTCAGGGTCTCCTTAAGCTAAAATCAAAGCATCAACTGGGCTGTAGTTCTTATACAGGGCTTGTAGAGTTTTTACAAGCTCACTGGTTGTTGGCAGAATTCATTTCCTCCTCACTTCAATCCAGCAACAAGGCACCAAATCCTTCTCATGCTTCAAATATCTCTGACTTCCCTTCTGTACCAGCTGCAGAAAGCTGCTCACTTTTAGGGGCTCATATGATTAGATCAGGCCCACCAGCTAACCTTCCTACCTTAAGGTCAACTATGCCATGTAACCGGGGTCCCCGACCCCCGGGCCAACGACCAGTACTGGTCCACGGCCTGTTAGGAACTGGGCTGCACAGCAAGAGGTGAGCGGCGGGCGAGCGAGCGATGCTTCATCTGCCCCTCGCATTACTACCTGACCTATCCACCCCACTTCCGTGGAAAAACTGTCTTCAAGGAAACCTGTCCCTGGTGCCAAAAAGGTTGGGGACCGCTGCCATACAACACAACATAATCACAGGGATGAAATATCATATTCACAGGCAGGAATCAGGGCATGGAAGGTTTGGAGGGGGGAGCCATTTTTAGAACTCTACCACAGTCACAAAAAATTGTAAAACTTAATTTAAAACACCTTTCTTACCTGTTAATAATGAACCATGCAACAGTTAGCATTCCTTCTAGCCAAGTTCCACTCATAAGCCAACTTGTAACAAATAAAGCAGTGACATATATTCCTTGCAATCCAAAAACAATGCCAATATAGAAATATACTGGCTCAATAATCTCCTAATTGGGAGAAAAAAAAGAGAGAAGGAGATAATAGGATGACAACATATAATTTTGAGGATTCATAAATATGTGAGAAAATAAATATTAAAGTCAAAAGAAACACATACATTGCTACCAGTTGCTTGATATAAAACGCTGGCAATAAGTTCTGGATATAGAGACATTTGCTGCACTGCATTTATAGTCTTCAGAGATACAGTTTTGTTATTGTGTGTCAGTTCGTATACACCTAAAGCCAGAAAAATTTTTCTCCAGATTATTTATTCTGCTTTTACAAGAATTGAACATGTTATTCAGAGGTCATTAAATACTTTATTATAAAGAAGGATCTCAAAATATAATACTCTGTGCCTCATTTTTCCAATTTTTAAATTAACTACAAGAAAGACCGATACCTATATTCTGAGACAAATCTCCACATTCAAGGGCTCCCACATATAAGAACCATGTTTTATTTTAGGAAAATATTGTTACTAAATATACAAATGTAGTTATCATACCTCTTTCAAATGAAGGTGCCTTTAACATATCCTTATAATAAGAATAATAAATGGCACTATCACCCTGAAATGTGATTTCCCGTTCAAGCTCCTAAAAGAAAATGAAATGATTATTTAAATACCAGTGTCTTAAATTTCAACTGCAATCTTGTTCTCTCCTCATATTCCAAATTAATGCTATTTATTTATCCTTTTATTCAAAGACATGTTTGAATTTTCCTTTAACCACTAGTGGCCATATTAATAAGATTAAACTTTTCAATAATCTGGCAATCACTTTAATGAAATACTTAAGGTTTAAACTAGATGGTAACTCGTAAGTTATTTGCCTATTATATATAAGAAAAATCTGGAAGGAAAACCCAAAGTAGTACCATAAGGAGAACAAGAATAGTATAGCAGGAAGTAAAAAATGATGGTTGAGGTGTTAGAAGTCCATAATAAAAATATAAGTTTAAAAAGAAAGTATTATTTTTCTATTGCTACTCCACTTCCCTAGGTATCCAGAACAGCAAGCCCTTAATTAGGGCTTTCCAAGAGCAGCAGATAACCAGTTCTTTTCAAATGAACTCCCAGAAATGTAAGTAAATCTTAAAATTCCTAAAATTAGGCTGTACAGAACCAAGAATATAGGTAGTCAAAAACAATGAAACCTGTACTTATCATGCTGAATCAAACTTTCATAAATCTATAATCTTTTAAAATGAAACGTTTCTTTTCATGCATAATTTTATCAATTAATACAAAAGGTATCAGAGCAGTTTCCCCAAAGTTTGATCAACAGAACTTCCTAAGCTATTAATGGGTGTTACCTAAAAAGAGTTAAATAAGCTATGTAAAGGCTGGATTAGAGAAAATTAAATGAGTTTTTTCATTGCAACTTTTCAGTTTCACTATTCATTATACACTGAGAATCTCTATAAAGTCTTTCTCTATAAAGATCTACTTGAGCAGTGAACTCTTTTTTTTCTCATCTAGAGCTTATTAGTCTAAATAAATTTCCTCAAAATTTTTTATGAATGGTTACTGACTTTTCTTTCTAAAATTTCAAAGATGTGAACTCTTACTCAGTGCTTCTCAAAGTTAATGTGCATATAAAACTTCTAGAGATCTTATTCAAACATAGGTTCTGATTCTAAAGTGTGGCCTGAGAATCTGCAATTCTGAAAAAGCTCCCAGATGATGCCAATGCTCCTGGCTCATCACAGTGCTCTTCATGAATGTCTTCTAGATTTTTAAACCTTATTGTTCTCAATTCTGCCTACATAACAGAATCACATGGAAAGATTTTGTGCAATATTGACCCCAGACACTCCCCCCACCCCACCTAAGAATCTGTGAGGGAAGTTATTTTTTAAATCATCCCAGATTTTTCTATTGTACATCCAGTGTTGAGAACAACTAATACTTAATCTTCATAACATTTTCAAGGAAATAGGCTATACAAAATCCTTGGTCAAATCAATACAGGTGAGTAATTATTCAGTTAAATGTTTTGGTGGTGTTAGATAAATCAATGGCTTAAAAACATTTAGTCAGCTTGACTACTCGCTCAAAAATAAGAACAACAACAAAAAAGAGTTTGGGCTAAAACAAAAACAAAAAAACTTTAGAGTCAAGTGGTAACACCACGAACTTTGCCAATGCATATTACAGGTATACCTGTTTGCGAAGGTAAGCCTGAAAAAAAACTTATTCAAAGGCCAAATGAATTATGAATATAACTATAGTGAGTAAAGAGTCTGTGATTAACACATGATTTAAAACCAAACATTAAACATACTAATATGAGGCAACATTTTAATAAATACTGTTACGTCTGCTAGTCATTTTCAGCACCTCCAAACATTCTAATCTAAAAATTAAAATATTTTGATGCTGAAACTTCCAGACTGTTTCTTAAATGTAAACTACCAAAACTACGAAAAAGCTGACTAAACTTCAAAACATTTCACTGTCATCAAAAGTCCCAATAAATCAATTGCATGAAGGAAAGCCCCCTCATAATTTCTGTTCTACCACCTTGAAATACATGCTATTAAATTTGTCAAGGTTGATACTGTGACTCAAGACAGCTCCTATACCATTCTGTTCCTACTGGCTTACAGCATAACATTAAGCACTTGTCAGGCTTCCCTGGTGGCACAGTGGTTGAGAGATCGCCTGCCGATGCAGAGGACACGGGTTCATGCCCTGGTCCAGAAGGATCCCACATGCCGCGCAGCGGCTAGGCCCATGAGCCATGGCTGCTGAGCCTGTGCATCCGGAGCCTGTGCTCCACAACGGGAGAGGCCACAGCAGTGAGAGGCCTGAGTACCAACCAAAAAAACAAAAAAAAGAAAGCACTTGTCATACTTATCATGCATGTTTTGGCTCCCTGGAAAACACGTTATTTAAATTAACATTAAATGTTAAAACAAACGTTCATATGCTCAAAATTCTTTCTTCTTACCTGCCTGTTGGAAAACCAGAATTTCCGTTCATGGTATGCTGATAAATAGAGAGCATACATCATACCGCTAGTAACTGCTGCAAGACAGCCAATGAATATCTTTGCAAAGCACTGAAATAATATATCTGAAAAACCATATTAAAAGTAATCAGTTGTGGATGATATTTATATTTATGTACTTCTATTAAAAAGAAAAAGTAATCAAAGGTTGTATGTATCCTTGATATGATGTGACAAAAATGGCATTCTAACTGTGGTCTTCCTCCCCAAAACCCATAATCCCAGTCTAATCATTAGAAAAACAGCAGACAAATTCCAAGGGAGGGGCATCCTACAAAATATCTGACCAGTACTCCTCAAAACTGTCAAGGTCATCAAAAACAAGGAAAGTCTGAGAAACTGTCACAGCCAAGAGAAGTCTAAGGAGACACGATAACTATATGTAGTGTGGTATCCTGGATGTGATCCTGGAACAGAAAAGGACATTAGATAAACACTAAGGAAATATGAATAAAGTATGGACTTTAGTTAAAAATAATGTATCAATATTAGTTCATTAATTGTAACAAATGTATCATACTAATATAAAATGTTAATAATAGGGAAAATTCTGGGGGGGGGCATGTAAAATCGGAACTCTGTACTACACTGTCTGCTCAATTCTTCTATAAATTAAAAATTAGTCTATTAATTTAAAAAAGGAATAAAAGGAACATACTACCGAATATCTAGAGAAAAAAAAAACAGGTTCATTCAGAATTACTATTGTTATTTTTTTCCTTACCAAGAAATGTTTTTATTGAGGAATAATTTACATACTATAAATTACATACAGCTCTTTAAGTTGTACAATTCAACGACTTTTGATGATTATGTATTTAAAACATCATATACAACATCATATACAAAGTATTCACATTATATATACGTAAATAATTTGTTTTAAAAAAATTATTTATTTATTTTTTGGTTGTGTTGGGTCTTCGTTGCAGCACGCAGGCTTTCTCTAGTTGTGGCGAGCAGGGGCTACTCTTTGTTGCGGTGCGCGGGCTTCTCACTGCGGTGGCTTCTCTTGTTGTGGAGCATGGGCTCTAGGTGCGTGGGCTTCAGTAGTTGTGGCACACGGGCTCTAGAGCGCAGGGTCAGTAGTTGTGGCGCACAGGCTTAGTTGCTCCGCAGCATATGGGATCTTCCCAGACCAGGGCTTGAACCCGTGTCCCCTGCATTGGCAGGCGGATTCTTAACCACTGAGCCCCCAGGGAAGCCCCTATGTAAATACTTTTTGACGAAAACATAAAACACATTTGAATTTTCTACACACAGGATGATTTAGTCCTGCTATAGCTATTAACTATAATTCAGTATAATAAAAACAAATACTATATGATTTCACTTATATGTGGAATCTAAAAACCAAACAAATGAACAAACATAACAAAACAGAAACAGTGTCACAGATACAGAGGACAAACAGGTGGTTGCCAAAGAGCAGAGAGGTGGGGGGAGGAGAGAAATAGGTGAGGGAGATTAAGAGGTACAAACTTCCAGTTGCAAAATAAATGAATCACAGATATGAAATGTACAGTGTGGGGAATATAGTCAATAATTATAGTGACAGATGACAACCTGACTTACGGTGGTGATCATTTTGAAATCTACAGAAATAGCAAATCACTATGTTGTGTAACAGGAACTAACATAGTATTGTAGCTCAATTATACCTCAAAAACAAACAAACTCATAGAGAAAAAGATCAGACTTGTGGTTACCAGAGGTGAGAGGTGCGGGAGAGGGAACTGAATGAAGGCAGTCAAAATGTACAAACTTCCAGCTGTAAGATAAATAAGTACTAAGGATATAATATACAACATGATAAATATAATTAACACTGCTATATGTTACATATGAAAATTGTTAAGAAAGTAAAATCTTAAGAGTCCTCATCACAAGGAAAAAAATGTTTTTCTATTTCTTTAATTTTGTATCTATACAAGGTGTTCAGTAAACTTTTGTGATAATCATTTCATGATGTATGCAAGTCAAATCATTATGCTTATACAGTGCTGTATGTCAATTATATCTCAATAAAACTATAGGGGAAAAAAAAGATTCAGTAAATTAAGCCCAGGCCTAAAGGCCCAAAGCCCAGTGTTACGTTATTAAATGACTGAGAGGTTTATAAAAACAAACTGGTTGACTTATTAACTTAGCTATTTTCAAAACATTATTCAATAAATATTAATTTGTATAGTATATTAGAGACATTAAATAGAATAACCAGCTAGATATCACTAAATTAATAAGAATTATATTCAAAGTGCTTGAAAGACACTACCCAATAAATCAAACATTAGAATCAGGGAATTCTCTGGAAGTCCAGTGGTTAGGACTCCGCGCTTTCACTGCCAAGGGTGCGGATTCAATCCCTGGTCAGGGAACTAAGATCCCACAAGCCTTGCGGTGCAGCCAAAATATAAAAATAAATAAATAAACAAAATAAAAATAAAAAAAAATAATCAGCATGACACAATTGCTTTAAAATTACTGCTTTCCAACTGAAAAAGGATTAATCTCCAAAATACACAAGCAGCTCATGCAGCTCAATATCAAAAAAACAAAAAAACCAATCCAAAAATGGGCAGAAGACCTAAATAGACATTTCTCCAAAGAAGATATACAGATTGCCAACAAACACATTAAAGGATGCTCAACATCACCAATCATTAGAGAAATGAAAATCAAAACTACAATGAGGTATCACCTCACGCGGGTCACAATGGCCATCATCAAAAAAAATCTACAAACAGTAAATGCTGGAGAGGGTGTGGAGAAAAGGGAACCCTCCTGCACTGCTGGTGGGAATGTAAATTGATACAATCACTATGGAAAACAGTATGGAGGTTCCTTAAAAAACTAAAAATAGAACTACCATATGACCCAGCAATCTCACTACTGGGCATATACCCTAAGAAAACCATAATTCAAAAGAGACATGTACCACAATGTTCATTGCAGCTCCATTTACAACAGCCAAGACATGGGAGCAACCTAAGTGTCCACTGACAGATGAAAGGATAAAGAAGATGTGGCACATATATATAATGGAATATTACTCAGCCAGAAAAAGAAATGAAATTGAGTTACTTGTAGTGAGGTGGATGGACCTAGAAACTGTCATACAGAGTGAAGTAAGTCAGAAAGAGTAAAACAAATTCCGTATGCTAACACATATATATGGAATCTAAAAAAAAAAAAAAAAAAAAAGGTTCTGAAGAACCCAGGGGCAGGACAGGAATAAAGATGCAGATGTAGAGAATGGACTTGAGGACATGTGGAGGGGGAAAGGTAAGCTAGGATGAAGTGAGAGAGTGGCATGGACATATATACACTACCAAGTGTAAAATAGATAGCTAGTGGGAAGCAGCCGCATAGCACAGGGAGATCAGCTCAGTGCTTTGTGACCACCTAGAGGGGTGGGATAGGGAGAGTGGGAGGGAGACACAAGAGGGAGGGGATATGGGGATATATGTGTACATATAGTTGATTCACTTTGTTATACAGAAGAAACTAACACAGCATTGTAAAGCAATTATACTCCAATAAAGATGTTAAATAAATAAATTAATTAAATAAAATCACTGCTTCCAATAGTACATGTAAAGCATTTGGCCTGGCACATAGTAAGAGATCAGTAAATACTATCAATAGGTATTATTATTGAGCTACAGAAGCATACTTGCAAAAATATATGACAGATGGGCTTCCCTGGTGGTCCAGTGGCTGAGAGTCTCCCTGCCATGCGGGGGATCCAGATTCGATCCCTGGTCAGGGAACTAGATCCCGCATGCCGCAACTAAGTGTTTGCATCCACAACTAAAGATCTCGCACACCACAACTAAAAGATTCCCTCATGCCGCAACGAAGATCCCAAAAAAAAAAAAAAAAAAAAAAAAGACAGTTAATTAAAGCAATGTTGACACAATGTAAACTATAAACAGACTAATAAAAAAACTTACCTACCATGGCAATTTCGTAAAAGTGCTACAAAGTTTCTAAATATGTATCTTTTCCTGTTTTTTTTTTAAATTAAGTCTTGGACAATGACAAATTAATCCTAATTATCAAGGGCTATTACAAAAAATATATTCAACCAAATCTTATATATAAATGCCTTACCTTAGTGCTATTTTGTTTTTGAAAGATTTTGTAAAGAGTCAAAGCTGGAATCAAGCTATCAGTGTTTGATATAAGTGTATATATTTTAGAGAAAATAAAGAGCTCTGGGCCCTGGAAATTATTTATTAAAAAATTATCATGGGGGACTTCCCTGGTGGCACAGTGGTTAAGAACCCGTCTGCCAATGCAGGGGACATGGGTTCGATCCTTGGTCTAGGAAGATCCCACACGCTGCGGAGCAACTAAGCCCGCATGCCACGACTACTGAGCCCGTGAGCCGCAACTACTAAAGCCCGCGCACCTAGAGCCCATGCTCCTCAACAAGAGAAGCCACCACAATGAGAAGCTCATGCACCACAACAAAGTATAGCCCCCGCTCACCGCAACTAGAGAAAGCCCGCATGTAGCAACAAAGATCCAATGCAGCCGAAAATAAATAAATAAATAATAAGTAAATTTATAAAAAAAAATTATCATGGGCCTGGTGGCCTAGTGGTTAGATTCCAGGCTTTCACTGCCGTGGCTCAACCAGCATTCAATCCCTGGTCGGGGAACTGAGATCCGGCAAGCCATGTGGCCAAAAGAAAAAAAAAAATTGTAGGATTCAATTTCACAAAAAGTAAAAAAAAGAAAAGAAAAAGTATAAATACATTGAAAAAAATATAAGCAGTACTTGCCAAAATTTTAAGAATAGTTATTATCTACTGGAATTATGCATATATTTTTATTATACTTATCTCTATTTTCACATTTTCTACCCTAAAAATATATTTTTGTAATCAGGGGAAAATACTGTTTTATAGGAGCTATCTCTAAATTGTTTAAATACCTTTCTTATACTGTATTTTCCAAAACGTTTTAAATGATCACTCTTATTAGTCAGCTTTGCTGTAGTAAAAAAGTGACCCCCATATTACCAGTGGCTTACAGAACATATATTTAATTCTCATTCATGTTACTGTGGGTTTTGGGTCAGCAGTCACTCTCCACTCAATTCCAGACTTCAGATTAGCTGTGGCTCTTCTTGTATCTTCAGAATTCCAGAATGGGATCAGTCCCTATTTGGGACATGCTGTTCTCATTACAAAGGAAAAGAGCAGCAGAACAGACAAAAACATACAATGCCTCTTATAATTTCTGGTCAGAACTAGTACACTGCTACTTCCACTCACATTCCATTGGCCCACGAAAGTCACATGGATAAACCTGAGAACGGGGTAGGGAAGTATACTCCACTTCAGAGAGGCAATCCAAATCACATGGTAATGGGAAGGAATGTATAATCCACTTTCAGGGCAGGGAGAAAACATTTGGGAACAATAGAAGGATCCACCAGGGTTTGCCCCATTAGTCACAAATGTCTACTTCCCCCCCAAAGGCAAAACACACTCACTCCTTCTCAAGAAAGATACCCTTAGAGCAGCTTACTCAGCCTGCTTTCTGCATGTAGAAAGTTAGGGACTCATACATCATTTTAAGACATGAATAGTTGTGTCCTTAATCTAGGCTGGCAGTTCTTTTGACAGTATGTCTCTCTCAAAGCTTAGCCAGCAATTCTCCTAGGTTTTTACTTAAGAGAAATAAAAATAGATGTCCACAAAAAGATTCGTACAAGTATTCACAGCAGCCTTATTCATAATAGCAGAATACTGGAAATTACTCAAATGTCCAACAGGAAAAGCAAGAACACTTACAGCAAGAAGAATGAATCTCAAAATGATTATATTTTTAAAGGATAACATATTGAGCTAAGTGAAAGAATCCAGGCACAAGGACATATATGTTGTATGACTCCATTTATATGAAATTCTAGAACATGCAAAGTCAATCAATATTTAAAAATATCAGAAGAGTGGTTGTTTTGGAGGGTACAGGGAAAATCTCCTGGAAAGGGACACAAAAGAACTTTCTGGGATAAGGGAATGTTAGGTATCTTAGTTGTAGTCAAGTACCAAAACTCATTTAATTAAATACCTATGATTCTGTACATTTTTTTTTTAAGCAGGGCTTTCTTTTCTATCTATCTATCTATCTATGTATCTATCTATCTATTTATTTATTTATGGCTGCGTTGGGTCTTCGTTGCTGCGCACAAGCTTTCTCTAGTGGTGGCGAGCAGGGACTACTCTTTGCTGTGGTGCACAGGCTTCTCATTGCGGTGGCTTCACTTGTTGTGGAGCACGGGCTCTAGGTGTGCAGGGTTCAGTAGTTGTGGCACATGGGCTCAGTAGTTGTGACTTGTGACTTGTGGGCTCTAGAGCACAGGCTCAGTAGTTGTGGCGCACGGGCTTGGCTGCTCCACGGCATGTGGTATCTTCCCGGACCAGGGCTTGAACCCGTGTCCCCGGAATTGGCAGGCTGATTCTTAACCACTGCGCCACCAGGGAAGCCCTGCTTCTGTGCATTTTATGATATGTTAGTTATACCTTAATTTTTAAAAATTAAATCATTCATTTTTGCAAAGAAAAGAACAATTTTGTTGGCTTTTTACCTACTTGATTCCAGTCAACTCCATACTCCAATAACTATACCCACAATTCTTCTAGATATGCCTCTCTCAAAGATTTAACTACAAGTATTTTGAGCTTATGAAGCTTTGTTTATTTGTCACATAAAGCCACACCCTTTGTTCTTTTTCCCTGAGTGCTTTACTCAACTGAAAGGAGTTAGCAGGAGCTACTTTAATCCATTCATACATTTTAACAAACTATGTGACAGTCATGCCCTTGATTTGGGCGTTGCCCTAAGGATTCATCTTAATCAGCCTTTGTTACTTAAAGTATTTCTCAATTTTATTGAATATTTTTTCCTAGTTGAAAAGACAAACAATACTAATTTCAATACTACAAGCCCCAGAAATTTTGGATTCCTATTTTCCTCTTCTTTCCTGACTGCAAATGGGCCAATTCTGTTCTCATGTGTCTCTTTCCTGTAATCAAAAGTAGCTGATAGCTTCTGCTCCTCCCACCGCCGCCCTGAGTCACTGCCTGCACACCTCTGGCCGCCTGGCTCCCCCTGCTAGCCACTGATATTTGACATTCATACAACATGGCAGACATCGACAACTTGTCTAGGGTAGTTAAAAGATGTGTGAATGCTCTCAAAAACCTTCAAGTTAAATGTGCACAGATAGAAGCCAAGTTCTATGAGGAAGTTCATGATCTTGAAAGAAAGTATGCTGTTCCCTATCAGCCTCTATTTGATAAGTGATCTGAGATTATTAATGCCATTTATGAACCTATAGAAGAAGAATGTGAATGGAAACCAGGTGAGGAAGATAAAATTTCGGAGCTAAAATAAAAGGCCAAGATTGTAGATGAGAAAAAGGATGAAGAAAAGCAAGACCCCAAGGAAATTCCTGAATTTTGGCTGACCATGTTTAACCCTTCACAAATGAAGGGTTGACAAAGACATATAGGATGAGGTCAGAACCAGATGATTCTGGTCCTTTTTCTTTTGATGGACCAGAAATTATGGGTTGTACAGTGTGCCAGATAGACTGGAAAAAAGGGAAGAATGTCACTTTGAAAACCATTAAGAAGAAACAGAAACACAAGGGATGTGGGACAGTTCGTACTGTGACCAAAAAAGTTTCTAATGACTCTTTCTTTAATTTTTTGCCCCTCCTGAAGTTCCTGAGAGTGGAGATCTGGATGATGGCTGAAGCTATCCTTGCTGTGGACTTTGAAATTGATCACTTTTTACGTGAGCATATAATCCCAAGATCAGTGTTATACTTTACTGGAGAAGCTGTTGAAGATGATGATGATTATAAAGAAGAAGGTGAAGAAGCAGATGAGGAAAATAATCCAGACTATGACCCAAAGAAGGATCAAAACCCAGCAGAGCGCAAGCAGCAGTGAGGCAGGATATATGTGGCCTTGAGGATAACCTGCACTGGTCTATCTTCTGCTTCCCTGGAAAGGATGAATTTACATTATTTGACAAGCCTATTTCAAGTTTCTTGTTCTCTGTTTGTTTGCTCGTTTTTGTTTTTTGCAGTCTAAAATAAAAATGTCAAAAAAAAAAAAAGCTGCTGATGATCAAGGTACTCTAGTAATATTCTGTTTGTGATCTTGTTACCTAAAATAATTTAAAAATTAGTATTAAAATTGCAACTATTCACAGGAAACAGTTTTATAAAATGTTTTGTCACGCATAGATGGATTATTTTCCAGCTCCCAAAAAGTTTTCTTGCTGCTAACCTTTGAACTAGATCTGTAGGTGACTCACTGCCCTTATCTTATGTGAGCAAATTTATATAAATGGCCCCTGAACTCCCTATGGGAAAGAATCTATTTACGAAAGCTGTTCAGCTCCTAAGGATGGCATATTCTCCAAAGCCACTTTCAGATATGGTTCAGAAGGATAACAGAAACGGAAGGACCTCCAGAGGATGAAGCCAAGGACGACAAAGAACAATGAACTGGGAAACTACTTCCAAGGAAAACAACTAGGGCCTAATCAAGAAACATTCCCCAGAGGAGGAAGACCTCATATTTACCTAGTAGGATTTCAAAACTGCTATGGACCAGTGGTTAATGTGTCTCTCACTCTTCCTCTTTCTGAATGGAAGCATTTATTTTAATATCCTATCCTCATTCAAAAGTGTATAATGGGAGCGGGGGCATGTGCTTTGCTAAGAAAAGCCTGCTTACAAGGCAGGCTCTTGGCAGGCATCTGGGAACCTAGATTTCAAAAGCGTTCCCACCATTTTCTAATGAGTGGTTTACTGTACCTAACTTATTTGTGCAAACAGTGTGGTTCATACCTACTGCTTTCCTTCTGGGAATCTAGAATTTTCCTATGCATTAAGCAGAGGCTACATGACCAGCCACCAGTAAAAACCCTGAGCAGAGTCGCTAATATGCTTCCCAGGTAGACAAACCTACAAATGTCACAATTTGATGCTGAAGGAATTATGTATGTCCTATGTGACTTGGAAGCTTCTGTCTAGTTTCTTGCAGTCTTTAGTCCATAGGTCCTTTCCCTTTGCTGATTTTCTTTTGTATTGTTCACTGTAATAAATTACAGCTGTGAATATGACTAAATTCTGAGACCTGTGACTCCTCCTAATCTCTGAACATGGGGGTGTTCTTGGGGACCCCTGACACAGAGCAGATAACTTGTCTTTTTAATTCATAGGTCTCTGGATTGAATGAGTCATAGCTGACCCTGATGAAGATAACAAGACCTTGGGCTTCAAGACTGATGCCCTGACTGGGTAACACTGGGTGTCTTCCTTGGGGTCAGGGAGGTACCAAGTATATTTTGTCTGAGGGAGACAAGTAAATATTTATGACCAAAAGGCCAGAATGTGGTAGACTTATTCTTATTCCCAACTATTTTGTCCTTTCCTATAAAAAGATTTTTCATCCCTGCCTATTACCATGTGACTTGCCATGCTTCCCTGTAGTCAGACTAAACTCCATCCCACTGTCTAGACTGATTATATGACTTGGTTGGGCCAACAGAATGTGAGTACAAGTGACAGTGTGCCAGTTCAGCAGAAACTTTAAGAGGTACTGCATGACTCTGCCTGTTTTCCTGCTCTTTTTCTCTGCCACAAGAAAAACACATCCCAAATAGGGATTATGCCTTCATGACATGAAGCTACATCAGCCAAGCTACAGCCACAACATGTAGTGTTGATCAGAAACAACTGTTTTTTGTAAGCCAGTGAGACTTAGAAATTGTTCTACAGCAAAACCTAATGCAAGCTGACCAATATCACCACATACTTAAGATAAAAATGTTTATACATTTGAAATATTAATGTAAAATATATTTCCTAACATAACTATTTTTGTAATAGCATAAAAACTCCAAATCTCTCTAACTTACGTTTTGGAACTCTTTCAGGAATTGCAGTATTGTTGATTTTCTCTTCTTTGGCAGATTCTTTATTTTCTGAAGACTTTGGCTTTTTTCTTTGGCGCAGTTCTATAGTTGGTCCTTAAAATATTTGAAAAGTTATTGCAATGTATGTATCAAATTATTCTGTCTATATCTGATTTACTTTTATTATACTTAGGTAAAAGTCTCATGAAGAACTATTTGTACCAAAGATAACTTTCTTCATAATTATTTTAGCACTCCCCGCAAAACTTTCCTTTCCTACAAACAAAAAGACAGTATAAATTCTGCCTCCAACTCGTGCTTTCATAGTCCTACTGATAAACTGAGCTCTTCTCCTGAGATGATGCTATTTTCAAAATATCCCAAAATAAGTAAACTCTTTTCCAGAATGACTGGACAACAGTGTTATTTAATAAATTAGCTTATTATTCTAGTTACATGAGAGTATAACATGCATCATTCATGAGTTAACAATTTTTTAAAATAAAAATAAAATACACTGATCATAAAACTATACTTCATTTTTTTAAAATAAATTTTATTTACTTATTTATTTTTGTCTGCATTGGGTCTTCATTGCTGCACATGGGTTTTCTTTAGTTGTGGTGAGCGGGGGCTACTCTCATTGCGATGGCTTCTTTTGTTGCAGAGCACAGGCTCTAGGTATGAGGGCTTCAGTAGTTGTAGCACATGGGCTCAGTAGTTGTGGCTCATGGGCTCTAGAGCGCAGCCTCAGCAGTTGTGGCTCACAGGCTTAGTTGCTCCGCAGCATGTGGGATCTTCCCGGACCAGGGCTCGAACCCGTGTCCCCTGCATTGGCAGGAGGATTCTTAACAACTGCACCAAAAGGGAGTCCTATACTTCCTTTTTTTTAAATAATCCTGAAGGTTCTGGAGAATTTCACAGTGCTGTGGTATCATTATCATTCAATAGTCTTAGAGATTTAGGTATTGGAAAATAGGCTGAACCTATAAAAATCCCTATATTTGGGAAACTCTCAGAAATTTTCCCAAATCTACTCTTTCTATACCCGATTTAAAAAATGTAATGCAGAAAGTACCTCGAAATCAGTAAACTAAATTCCAAATTAAACAGGAATTTACAATATTCAACTTAACTACTTTTCCTCCCTAGAGTTAATTATGAGGTAGACTATGTCATGTAGATATAGGATGCTATGATGGGCTGTCAAGGTTTCAGGTGGTACAAGAACTTATCTCCTTCTAATAGAAGCAGAGAAGAGTTTTTTCTTTTCTCTTAGTAATGGCTTAAGGCTAGGAAAAATGAGCCTAAAAAGAGGAGTTAAAAAATGAGAAATGAATCAGCTACTGTTGCTGATGATCAGATGGCTGATTCTCTAACTTTACTGTGGAAAATGAGTAAAATGGATTTTAAAGTAGCTTCAAAGCAAATTCACGTTTGCTAAAATATCTTTAAACACTGACACACTGAGGGAAAAAATACTGTATATTTAGTGGATTCTGTCTGACTAGTTAATTTTTAACCATTTCTATACTATTTATCATTTATTTTATAATCATGTTAAGTAGTAAAGTCAGTGAATAATTAGAAAATGACATTATTAGAAAAGCCATACCATGGATATTGAGTATTTCTGCATGCAAATCTGAGACAAATAAATATTATTATATTCCTTCTTCATGATTTCCTTTTAATTTTCCCCCGCTATGGGTTAAAGCAAAAGTTAGAAGCATTCAACAAGAATGAAAATTTATGTAAAGCCAAATGAAGTCTTCAAATGCAAGTTATTATTTTAAATTGTATTAAAAAAGAATACATGGAAAAAATATAACCACAAGACATATACTTAGTAGATACATGTGCATGATTAAACACATTAACAGTACTGGATTAAAAAATTTTAATTGGGTAATTTCAGAAATCAAGTTAACAAATCTACTGAGGAAGTTAACAAATTACGTGACCAATGGGTTAGATAGGGCTTTTTTTATTAGACAGTCTAAAAGCACACATTTAAGATAAAGATAATTTGGAAAGGAAGGGGATATTCACATAAAGTGTTCTTTACAAAAAGCTATTATTTTTCTTTTTTAAAAAAATTCTCTATAAAATCAATCACTTTACAAGGATTTTAATAAAGTGTTCTCTGTGCACATAAATGGCTTTTTTGTTTGGTTTGGGTTTTGTTTTTGGCCACACTGCGCAGCATGCAGGATCTTAGTCCCCTGACCAGGCATGGAACCTGTGCCCCCTGCAGTGGAAGCAGAGTCTTAACCACTGAACCACCAGGGAATTCAACAAAAATTTTGCACAGAACCCCGTTATTTATGAAGTGTATAAATCTTAATCGGTCACCTCTCAGGAATCTATATTAGCAATGTTTATCATACAAATAAATAATCTGTAAAGGATCTATAATACTGTATTTTCTTTATTATTATTTTTTTGGCCGTGCTGCACGGCTTGTGGGATCTTAGTTCCCTGACCAGGGACTGAACCCACAGGGTGAAAGCGCAGAGTCCTAACCACTGGACTGCAAGGGAATTCCAATACTATATTTTATTGATTCTAAGAAGCCATATATTTTAAGATACTATTTGATGTTTTTCAAGGGGAAAATTGGCACTACCATGTTAAATATGTGCATTGGTTTTAAGACATGGCAATTTCAGTGGCATTAAATTGTGGGAGCAAAAAGTACTACTTGGGAAATACAGTAAACTTTTTAACCAATCTCTTCAATCTTGTCCCTAAATTTTTTGCCTGTGACCATAAATCAAAACTGATTGGATACAAACTTTACCTCATTTCCTTTATATTGATCTTTTAACTTCATAATTGATAAACAAAGCCCAGAATCTTTAGGTGGATAAGTAACAAAAGGCCAAAGCTGCGGACAAACTAGATTATTAATCATGATAGGAAAGCTCTGGGATAGAATTCAGGTTTCCTTTTCACTATCTTATACTTTTAGCATTGTAAAGAAAAAGTCAAAGTAGTAAATCACCTATATTTCAATTAAAAAAAAAAAGAGTGACTTCCCTGGTGGTACAGTGATAAAGAATCCACCTTCCAATGCAGGGGAAGCGGGTTCCATCCCTTATCGGGAAACTAGGATACTACATGCCACGGGCAACTAAGCCCGCGCGCCACAACTACTGAGCCCACGTGCCCTGCAGCCCATGCGACAACCAGAGAGAAAACCCACACGCCACAACTAAATAGAAGCCCGCACACTACAAAGAAAGATCCCGCGTGCCTCAACGAAGACCCCACGTGCCGCAATAAAGCCAAATAAAACAACAGCCAAAATAAAGGAAGAAAAGAAAAAAGAATCTGCCCATATCAAAAATAAAGAATAAAAGAAAAAGTCAAATAAATAAAAATGATAACATAGCCACAAAAATAACCTCCTATTTCAGTCTCTGGCCCAGTGATCTTCACATAAGATAGCTAACAGGGCTACAAATAGGCTTGCAAATGTCCATCTAGACTATACATAGCAACTTCCAAGTGAATTATGAACATTGCTCTGCTCAAGGCTATCACTTCTTTCTTTGCTCTAACATATCTTCCAGGAAACATAAATATAAATGCCATGACCCTCTACAGCATCAAGAGAAGATGAGATTTCCCAAAGAGTATTTACTTAGAGAAAAGTGGGACAATGAAGAGGATCCAGGTAAATGTGAATGATAAGCAAAAAGCGATATAGAGAACATCTGGATACAAGTAAAACAGACTATTTAGTCTAATTTTAACACAGTGAATACAAATAATATGCATTTAATTAATTTATTTTTTTATTATTTTTTTTTGCGGTATGCAGGCCTCTCGTTGTGGCCTCTCCCGTTGCGGAGCACAGGCTCCGGACTCACAGGCTCAGCAGCCATGGTTCACGGGCCCAGCCGCTTCGCGGGACGTGGGATCTTCCCGGACCGGGGCACGAACCCGTGTCCCCTGCATCAGCAGTTGGACTCTCAACCACTGCGCCACCAGGGAAGCCCAATAACATGCATTTTGAAAAACAGTATAGAGTGCCTAATAAATGGAAAGTACTCAGAAAAATGCCTAGGACATAGACATGTTTACTATAAATATCATTACTAGATTACAATAAATGAGAATTGCTCATTGTTGACTATTATATCCCAGTACCTAACACATTAGACAGTCAAATATTTACGGAATTAAAAAATTCGTTGAATAAACTTTAACAAAACTGCAATCCATTAATTGTTCCAAGATGTATTTCATTGCTTTGGATTATCTGTAATTCTACAAACAAAAATCATTTTTCATTTTATATCACAGAATTAAATTTCACAAACTTGTATGGTTTGTGAAACCATAACTGGTTCTACATCATACCTATTTGGTTAGGTGTAACTATAACTTCTTAAAACAATTTCTCATTTGCATGATATATAATATTAAAGACTTTTAATACTGCAGTATTAATTTTTTTATGCTTTAACTTAAGTGCTCATGGAAACATACAAGCTAGCTCATCAACCCACCCCTAGAGATTTGCAGTTAGTCAGAAAAGGAAAAAATATCAAAAAATGTATTACATATACTGCAACCAAAGATAAAACCGAGACAACAAACAGAATTACATTCTTCCTTACCAACTACAAAGAGTTTTGGTTTTGAAGCTGTTTTTAGGTAGAGTGTCTTAAATTTAGATCAGTTTTAACACAGGAAACTTAAGGAAGACGAGGCAAATATGAAGCAAGAGGGAGCACAGGGACAGAGCAGCAAGACACAGCGCAGCAAAAAATTCTTACAATTAATTTCTTTTAATTGCTTTCCACTGAATTCTTGAAACTCCCTTCTTGCACTCTTGGTTCAGTAAGGCTTCAATCTAAATAAATCACATTCACAACTGCCCTCAATAAGGTAAAAAGTCATGTTTTCCAAAAGGATTAAAAATCTACCTGTTCAGTCGAGACACCATTATACCTATGCCTGAAAGTAGCATGCCTATCATGAAGATATATCATGACACGAATGTTTCCTCTAACATCTCTCACTAGCTAAGTTCCTCCCAACTCCGCATTTTTATCTCATACCTATCGATTTCTATGAATTAATTTTCTTGGCATTGGCCCTGAAGGGGCATGAAAAGCTTTCTCCAGCCCACCCACTTTCACCCAGAAAGCACTCCTGGCTTCCAGATCCCCCCAAAACCACTTACATCCCTTCTCCCTTTGCCATCTCGCCCTAACCTGTAACTGAACTTGACCTTCTTCAATTTCTGCCTCCTCATCCCCTCCCAATGCACCTTACCACGTCTACCCCAAACCCTTGCCTCTGTTTGTCCCCTTGGCCTGCGGCTCCTCTCACCGGTGGTGACTTTTTATTTGTCAGAATCCACAGACCTCTAAAGAGCGCACTCAGACTGAGGGGCACTTGGTTAAACAACTATCCCTCTCGGAAATGCACTCAGTACCTAAACCTACATCTTCTAAACCAAAGTATGTCCCCCACCCCATCAGTCATCTGCTCACAGCCCTCCCTCTCCACCACTCCCCACACGGGTTTCTCTCTTCCTACACGATTCCCAACTTCAAGCTCCACTTTCGCTTCCCACTAGAGCCGACACAACTTCGGGCTATTTACTCCGCTCCTTCTGAATTTCTCCACACACCTCCCCCGCCGCCCCGCTCTTTCCCGCCGGACCGTCGCGGCCGCCCGCAGCCCCGGTCTCCGGGGCCCTCGAGCCCCCGTCCCTCTTTCCCGAGACCTCGGGCGACAGTAGGCGCGCTGGACCCCAGGGAGGTCACCTTCTTCCTCCGCCATCGTCCCCGCGGACGCCGGGGCGCCCCTCCGGCTCCCGCGCGGCTCAGAGTCTCCCGCCCTCCGTGTTGCGGAACCCCTCGGCCTCCCCAGGCCCGCTCCCGGCCGCCGCGCCCCCACTTCCTGACCCGCCCCCCTCCGGTGTCGCGGCCAACCGAGTCCCCCCGGACGGCCCTGGAACCAGAGTGCCGGAAGCGGAGGGCAGCCGGAGCGTTTGGCGGGCGCGCTTGGTCCTGCGCGGGCCGGAAGGCGGCTCTACGTGGAGTGGCACCGCCCACCGCTGGTGCTCCGGGACCGCTTCCCCGGCTCCCCCGCCCCTCTCGGGAGGCGAGCGCGGGCGTCCAGCTGCATCTCCTTTCCTCGCCCGTCCTCACCGTAAAGGTGGGCGCCCGAGCGGGCTTTCTGGGGCTTTTGTGGGTGGACTCAGGTAGTCAGAGAATATCCAGATCCAGCCCGCATATCCGCCCCATTTTACAGAGAGGAAACTGAGGTGCAGCGAGTGTAAGTCACAAAGCTAGTCGAAGCCAGAACTGGAACCCAGGGCTCCTGCGTCCTCCTGGTGCTTTCAGAGCGAGGCAACACCCTCTGGGTTGACGCGTTGGTTTAGTAAGCCGCTAGACATCTACAGGAAAGAAGCTTGTACTTGGAACTTAGTGTTTTTAACCACCCAAACTGGTTAAACAAATGTATTTGCATGATATTATTTTGAAAACAGTAATACTTATGGTCAGTGCGGGGGAGAGGTGCGTTTAGATATTCCACAACAATGGAACATAGTTTTAACTTGTTATACTGTTTGTCTTCACTTTTATTATATCTGGCATTCTCCAAATATACCAGGATCTATCTCCCTCAACAGTACTAAGAAGTAATTTAGGAACTGACAAAATGCCCATTATAGAACGAGAGGAAAAAGGCACAAGAACTCACTGAAGTCATGGGGTTATTAAGGTTGTCCTGTTCTTAGCAGGCAAGAGTCTCCTTCATCAAGTCAGGATATTTGGGGAGAAGCTATCAGTTTTCAGTGCTGTGCAAAAACAGTTCCAGGAACTCTTTTTATGCCTTTGGTTGCTTGTAAATATGTCTTGCCTGTCAAACAGCACTGGACCAGGAGTTAGAAACACGGGTGGAAGATACCAGTTGCCCAGAAAAGGCCTGGGTCAAAGCACAGAGAACAAAACTGTTGGTCTTTGAAAACCACAAGAGCCCACGTACACAGCAGCAGATTTCAGTGCCCAGCTTATCAGATGATAAGCAGACAAAGCTCCAGCTCATGTGAGAACAACACAGTGGCCACTGAGGGCCACTGTTTTCCAAGTCTAGGGTCTTGAGGTGATGACCATTCCTCCCCTAGTTCCTTCATGATCACCTCAAGGACTTAATTTAAGTATAATTTAAATTATACTGCATGCTCTATACAGTAGTGGAGACAGAGAAAAAAATAGCTTCTCAAAATCAAATGGAAACATGAAAGAAGAGAGATAAAACTCAGTCTTTAGATACTAATCAGTGGAATCGTGATTGTGTTCCCTAGTAGAAGCATTCTTCCCTTGAACCCTAAACCTCCACATAAGAATAATGAGAATGGGTCATTTTATTCCTGAACCAGTGTAATTTTGCTATGAGAAAAATAAGACATTTTTTGTTCAAAATATCAACTCATCCAAAAAGATGTACCCCTAACTACTCAAGATGTTGCCTTGCAGCTGGCCATATAGCTGAGCGTTCAGTAAGTCATTCCATAAGTCGATAAGACCAGCTGCCTCCAGATAGTAATGCACATAGCTAGTGGACACATGGTCCTAAGATAACTTCCGATTAGAATTTGATTGACCATTTTATGACTGTAAACCGTGGGCTGCTAGTTTCCCATCCAGAATTTGAAGGGTCATTTCATTATCCTTTGCCTCTTCTTGACCAATCCTAAACACCTCAAATTTTCTCAAATGGTCTTTATTTACAGTCCACTCTCAAAGAACAATATGGTTTTCTGCCTCCTCTCTAGAAGTTTGAGGACCCCTTTAGTATGCAGTAGATATTTTTAGGGATTGATGTGAAATGCTTTGTTGTAAGTCTTTTAAGAAAATGTAGATTAGGAAGCTGTTGTAGTAAACTGGGTTTAAAAAGTAAAGTCTTGAAATAAGGCAATGGAAATAAAAATGTTCAAAGAGAAGGGATTCAAAAGATACTGGAGGTAAATTTACAGGGCCTAGTGACAAATTGGATATGATAAATGATGAGTTGAAATGATTCCTAAGGTTTCTATCTTAAAATTAAATATGTGCCTTCTGTGTGCCAAGTAGTTTGTTACCAGGATATGAGACAAATATAAAACAAAAGCCCCTGAAGACTTACCTACTTGAAACCAAAAAAATACAGGCGAAATCTATTTCAAAAACATTCTTCTATCCAATGCGTCACCTTATTACTAGTAACAGAATAATTAGTGTGAAATCTTTGCATTAGTTCAGCTCTTCTTCTGTTAAAGATATGGAACTCTGTTTCATCTTTATTATGTCATAAATTTGTAATTATCCATTGATGAACATATTTAAATTATTTTCAAACACCATCTCCTTTGTGAAGTCTGAACCAAATATGATCAATTCATCTTTGAAAACACATAACACTCTTACCACCATTATATCCTGGCTTGTATTTTGGTCATGTTTTATACCGTTGTTTCAACTCTTTGAAACACACTGTAGACAAGTATTTTGGTAATTGACTTAAAAGTTGTTGACAATAGTATTAGCGGTGGGTGTCTTAGAAGACCAACGTGATAAGCTGTATATTTGGCACTATCAACGAGAACTATGATTTGAAGCCGTTTTGTCTTAGCTTGTCACCAGTTCTACTTGTGACTATGGATTAATTTTTTTTTTTTTTTTTTTTTTT